GATGACACAACCTTTATTTACTCCAGTCCTGACCCCCTTGCTCTAAATGTCACAGTGAATACTGAGCTAAATTAAGTCCATCTTTGGCTAACTGCCAACAAACTCACCCTTAACATTGACAAAACTTTCTATATTCTGTTTGGCAATAAATCTTCTAATCAAATAAATCTCAGGATAAACAATACCCAAATTTGTAACAAAGTACAGTAGATGCAAATTCCTTGGTGTTCTCATTGATCACAAGCTGAATTTCCAGGGACACATTCTAAATACTAGTATATAAAAAAAAGTATCAAAAACTGTTGGCCTTCTTTCTAAGATCAGATATTATGTACCTCGCCCTACCCTGGTGACTCTCTATTACTCCCTCATCTATCCATATCTCAACTATGGTATTTGTGCTTGGGGTTCTACTACCCAGTAGAACCTCGTAGGTTCTAGAACCTACGAGGTAGTAGAACCTGGGCCTCGTAGCCTGGTGGATAGCGTGCAGGATTCGTAATTCTGTGGTGTGGGTTCGATTCCCGCACGAGGCAGAAGAAAATGGGCAAAGTTTCTTTCACCCTGAATGCCCCTGTTACCTAGCAGTAAATAGGTACCTGGGAGTTAGTCAGCTGTCACGGGCTGCTTCCTGGGGGTGGAGGCCTGGTCGAGGACCGGGCCGCGGGGACACTAAAGCCCCGAAATCATCTCAAGATAACCAAGATAACCCAAAATCATTTACGTTCTTTAATTACTCAACACAAAGCTGCTATTAGGACAATATCCAACTCTGGCCCAAGATAGCACTCTGTACCCTTACTCAAATCTTTGAATATGTTGGATATTAAGTCATTGCACATTCTCTCATGCGTACTCTATATATTTAAAACTCTGAACTGCAATGTCAATCCTGACCTTAGAAGCTTCCTAGAAGGTTGTAACAGAACTCATGGGTATCACACCAGAAACAAATACCTATTTGATATTCCAAGAGCACAACTTAACCAAACTAGAAATGCTCTACAAATCAAGGAACCCAGAATGTGGAATGGTCTCCCCAATCATGTCAAAGGCTGTACCTCTCTCAACCAGTTTACTTAACTCCATTTAACCTACCTTACCCCCTAAATGTCAACCCATGTCTTGCTTTTGTTAAACAATGCTGTTTGTTCTCCAACTTGTACATTTGCTGATTTCTGCCATGTTCCTCCCGTTTCTATTTTTTTATTCCTTTTTTCAACACAGTTTATACCTAATCCCAATTACTGTACTATTAAGTTTTAGTCTTAAGAGTTTTTTTCCCCCCACACCTTGCCCGAAACGCTATGTGTATTAGTGGCTTTAGGTACTGTATGTACTAGCTCTATCTATAAATCCTACATTATGTTTATAAATCAACTATGTATGTACTTTTCCTGAATAAAAATTTATTTAATTTATTTACAATACTTGAGTGATGTTGAACTCCTTAAGGGGTGTTCTTAAATAACTCACTGGCGAAGTTTGTGCAACAATCTCTTTGAATCTCCTTGGGAAATCCGTACTGCGTGAAGATCTTCAGGAGGTGCTTGACAACTGTAGTATTCGTGAAGTTCTTGACAGGAACTGCTATAGGGAACCTATAGCCATTATGTGGTTGGACACATAATGGTAATGATGTAGAGGTTGCCAGAACTGGTTCTTGGTAGAGGCATGACGCAGTCGATTATGAGTTTTAAGCAGTGCTCTGAAGGCACAGGAATAAGAATCAATGGTGCCTTAGGAATAGGAGCATTGGGGTTGCCTGCCATTTGACATGTATGACAAGTATTCATGAAGGTCCTCATGTCTCGTGCCATGCCTGGCCAAAAACAGTCCTGTAATAAGGCATGGTAGGTTTTGTTGATGCCATAATGGGACATCGGGCCATGGGCAAAGTCAATTATATCTTTATATAAAGATGTGGGAACTACCAACTGATTAACATTAGCCCAATCATCCTCTGCCTTATTTTACTGGGTCTGAATCTGCAATATAGGATTTGATTATCATTCAAAAAATAACAACGGATGGAATCAGTCTTAATCTGAGCCTGAGAGAACAAGGAAGTTAACAAAATGTCAGCTTGTTGTAACTTATGGAACTCCAACAGGTTGAGATTCGGTGGGAGGCCTTGTGAATCTTGAGGGACAGCTTGGGCTACTTGTGGTGGTAGAGCAGCTTGAGCATGAGTACAGTCACTAGGACAGGCTGGGATATATCCTCTGTTTCTTCTGTCACCGGTACCACTTCTGCGGCATACTTCATTGCAGGGTCTTCTTCCATAGCCGAGTCACATACCAGGGGTTTGTCACTTATGACTAGGTTCATGGATTTCTGTTGATCAGCCAAGTCGTTGCCCAGAAGAAGTTGAATTCCTGCCATGGGGAAAGGTTTCTCCAGTATGGCGACTTGGACTTCTCCGCAAATGAAAGAACAATCCAGGTGGACTCTAGCGGGCGGGTATGGAGTGGTTGCAGTAAGGTCGGTGAGGAGGACGGTTTCTTCAGTGTAGGTGGCTTTGGGTGCAGTGTCTTGCATAAGAGTACTTTGTAGAGCAGCTGTGCCCCTCAAGATGATCACTTTGACCTTTCCATCAGAATCTCCACCATTGGCAGAGACAGTTCCTGGATACATGTGTCTATGGAATAAAGAAAGATCAGAAGCTGGAACATGGGTATGCATAACAGGCTTATGAGGCTTGGGAGGTTGAGCTTTAGGTTTATGCAGATCGTTGCTAGTCTTACAATAAGGGTTGGTACATTTTTTGATACAGTAGTGTGTACATATACAGTACTTTACAATATCTGCAGTAGAGTGCATAGTTAACATTGACATGAATTACTTTAGCAGGGCTGGACCAAGATGGTTTACTGGAATAGGAATCATATGATCTGTGAATTAAACTATAGGTATCCACTAACTGTGCACACCTACAAAGGTTAGTCTTTCCTTTATCTGGAAGGTAACGGCGTATGGGATTTAGGTACACGGTGCATAAATTCTTCCAGGAGTATGAGGTTAATTAATTCTGAAAAAGTGGTGAGCAGGTCGACTCCAGCCAATTCATAAAATATATCTTTTTTTTTTTTTGTCTGTACATGCTCTTCATGTGTGGTGGCACTGGATTTAACATAATCTTTGAAATGTTGCCTATAACTTTTGGTAGACAAGAGATAGGCTTCTAGAACTGCTTGCTTCAGTACCTGGTAATCAGTCTCGGTTGCAAGAGTACTGAGGGTCAAGGCAGGTCTTCCTGTAAGATGAGCTTGGAGAAGTATCGACCATTGGTTCTGAGGTCAGCTGATTTGAGTAGCTAAAGCCTCAAATGAGGTAAAAAATGAATCCACCTCTGTCTCTACAAAAGGCGGCATTATTTTGATACATTGAGTTGCATTAAAACATAGTTGGAGGTTGGTTTCTGCTTCCTGGTGCTGAGCAAGGTGGGGAGTTTCGAGTTCCATCTCCTGTTGTGGAAACTATAGCGGCAGCAGCTTTATTCCGTTCCAACGGAGAGCAGAGGCAACTTTCTCTTGCTCTAAATGGAGAGTGATGGCAGCTTCTTATTCTTGTGGCTGAATTCTCTCGTTCGCGTTGATGTTCCAGTTCTGCTCTCGGTTCCATGAGTTGGAGTTGTTCCCTCTCGCATTCACGTTGGAGGGCAACTTCTTGTTGTTGTCATTGACGTTCCAATTCTGCTCGTTGTTCGTGGAGCCAAAGTTGTTCATTCTCCCGTTCTCATTGGAGGGCAATTTCTTGTTTTCTCATCTCTCGTTTTCATTCATTAGCCTCGGCTTTCATGTGGGCTAATTGAATCTTCAGTTTCATGATAGTGAGTGCAATTTTATTGGCAATTTGATGTTGTTCCTGCAGCTTTGAAGTGATTAGATCATTATCAACCAAATAATCTAATATATATTATGGAGTTCGGTTTTGTTGGCACCATGGGGAGGTGAGAGATGATATTCTGTGGTTAATGTCAGTAATTCTGCTTTGGTAGCACAAATTAAGTTAGCTACTTCATCCTCCGGGTTGGAATGGAAGGCGGATAAACGAAACATGGTTAAAGTAGAGAGACAAGTAATAAAAACTGGAAGAATTATGTGAGTGGCCTCCTGTAAGTGAACCAATAAGTGAGGATTGTTAGACTGACATAAATGTGATGAGGCAACATGCACGAGAATGGTTGGTATAGGACTGGCAACTCGTAACTCTCCTGTAGAACAATAATAAATATACAAGATACGTTACTGAAACATATAAGATTAATTGCAATATAACTAAGTATTGGACTTTAGTAAGGACTTGGAGAAACAAAACTGAATGTTTCGAGGTAGTACAAGATAGTGTAGGGATGTCTATACCCATTACTTTATTAATGACGAGGTTAAGGGCAAGAGTTATCCTACTGAAAACTAGGTAATTAACTGCAAAGTTACAATTCTTTGTGCTCTGAAAAAAAACACAGTAAACTCCCTACCTGGGCAATTAATCACAGACTTTGAAATGTACTGTACAGTTCTGGATACAAAAGGAACGAAAGCCCAATATGTCCTTTTAAGTTCATACTGTAAAGTTAAACATTATAGGTTCGAGACAAACCAAAGTACCAGAGTACCTGATTGGGTGATCTGTCTGAGTGAGATACTGCTCTAGGGACAAGATTATTATGGGTAAACAAGATATAGCAAAAGTTTATAACCGTTACGAGCATGAATTTGTGCATGAAAATCACATAATCAAAAGTCAATCTAATAGACAGTTCACAAATTGCTACATCTGAAATGTAAATATGTACCCTATAATAAAAATTTAAAATTAATAAAAATGTAATTTTAACAAATATTTTAATATCAGATGCAATATGTGTCCCTGGTTGGGATCCATAGAGTTATAAACAGACTCATATTGCGTCCCTAGTTTGGTAAAGTGTTAATTAACATACTGTACTACACTTTGCCTAGCCATTTTGAGATATTTAATTTTGCTTTATTTTTCAGTATTACTACGAGTTCCACCTGTGCAGAAAAGCAGAAGGAAACATCTGATTGTAGATCAAACATAGATGAATTAGGCACCTGGGACTCAGAAGTGGATTCTCCTCAACAAGTCACATATGATGATCCTCAGAATGATTCATTTAATGCCTCAAGACAAAGTCTGCCAAGTCAATTGCAGTCACATGTTGCAGTCTCTCCCACAATGAAACTGATGGTTGTGGATGCCAAGAGAAGTGGTGGTGGAGAACTCTTTGGTTCAAAAAGCACACAGAATAGTAGTATGAATGTTTGGCCTCAGATATCAGAAGCTGTTGTAAGCAATTCACAGATTTCTTCAGTGCCTTTTATCTCAACATTAACATCTACTTCACCTGAACTTCGCAGACAGTCTGTAGGCAAATTTAACATGGCTAATGTTTCCAAAATTAACTTAACCAAGCATGTGCCAGTAGTGCAGGTTTCATCATATAAGGCCAGAGAGCCCGCAACTAGAAAATTAAGCTCAGATTATACAATTGGAATTATTAACCAATCTCTTTCTCTTTACAAAAATTCTTTGTTGACACAAAAACAGTTTCATAAAGATGAGGCGAGCTTATCAAATGTCAGGCAAGACTCCAGTGCAGTTCAAGAGGAACAGTTGCCGCATGACAGTCCAGAAATGTTGGCGGCTAATGTATTAGTAAAAGGATTTGCCAAAGAATAACAGTGAATAGTTTATTTTATTAAGTTATTGAAGGTAAAAATGCAATGGAGAACAATGAGTGTTGAGTGTCTTCCAATTAGGTTAAAAGGAATTGGGCAACATGGCTTTGTCATGTCAAAATGCATTATGCAACAGTGAATGAGGAGCATTTTCCAGTGTGATTAGCATAGCAACCCAGAAGTGTATAATATGTTGTGTGTGCCGCCAGCTTAGAGATCTTAATGATAATAATGACTCAAAGCTTGTGTGGACATATACTGTATATAACTTGGAGCTCAGATAAACATTTTAAGCTCTGACATTTATAACTGAATTGTAAATATTTATGGTTTCCCATTGTCAAGGGACAAGAAGACTTAGGCTTATTAAGGGCCACCCGTAGGCCTACTGCTGACCTTCCCCAGGATGCTGCCCACAACAGTTGCCTAACTCCCAGGTACATATTTACTGCTGAGTGAACAGAGGCATCAGGTGTAAGGTCCTCTTAGGCCAGATACTGACCTTCTCCAGGATGCTGCCCACAACAGTTGTCTAGCTCCCAGGACACAGAGGGAATAGGTGTAAGGAAACATGTCAAAATGTCTCATCCAGTCTGGAGATCAAAATAAGGGGCAACTGGCTGTAAGCCAACACTATTCCTAGCCTGGGCAATCATTTATTAGAGAGAGCTTGTTAAAACAATTTCTATAGATCTCATCAAGCATCTGTTACTGATCCCGAACAAAACATTTATGACTGTATTCAGGCAAATTAAATAAGGGATGAATAATAAACCCATCACATTAAAATGTGATGGGCAAATTGTGACAGCAAGTACTGTATGTGCCTTCTTATACTGTTGCAAAGTATCGCCAAACTACAACCACTCTGACAATGAGTAAGGAAAACCTTGGATACCTACAGGCCATTCAGGGATCAATGCATCTTACATAAAAGTATATTGTGACAAAGTTATTTCTGGGGGGAGCCCCGTTGGCTCCCTGAAGCTATCACACTTCAGGGTTATCATTGATTCAGTGCTGTACTACTGTGTGCCCTCAGTCACAGAGTTCTATTGGCCTACCAGGAATCATGAGCCAGAACCAGGTCCCCCTCAAAGAGGTGCATGGAACGATGTCCTATAAACATTTTACCTTCAAAGATAATCATAATACTGTAGTCACCACCAGGAAAACACCCAGAAAGCTAGACAAAACAAAACAGACTACTGCATGGTTAAAACCAAACCATTGCCCCACAAAATGGAAAAAGAGCTCCCCTAATAATGAAAAACCACCAAAATTTTGTGAAATTAGTGAGAGCTAGTTTAACCCAGGCCCGGCAGACTGGGTCAGCCGGGCCCATCACCATTAGTTCTATCGCCGATGTGCCTGTTTGCTGTTGTCGCTCTGGCTCCAGTATCCCATTTTCTGAGTGGTGTTTTGCCTTTGAGGCTGTTCTTATACACATTAGTGTTGCATGTAACCAAATTAGTGTACTTGGAGCTGCATGTACTCAGGGTTTCCTTCCCTGTGTGCTCTTTGAGCACTTCCCTTGCGCTTTCAGGGTTTTCTTCCCTGGGGTGTTCAGGTTACACCCTTTAGAGGGTCTCTTCGCTTGGGGTGGTCCTCGCTTTTCAGGTAAGCTGATGGTCTTTGACTTCCTGTCTCACCTGGGGTTGGTAGTGATTTCGACTTTCAGCCTGTGGTTTGTGCAATCAGTTACTCCGCTAACAAATTAGTGCCAACGTTTCTCCCTGGTACTCTGTTTGCCACGGTTTGGTCCTAGGGCTTTGTGCTTGTGTGCTTATTTTTTTCACTTTGCCCTTTTTGTGCTTGGGAGTTCTTCCTTTGATCTTATTAGGCTCTGCCTAGGTTGTGTGCAGTTGAACCCTCTTGCTGGCCCCTTGGGATTTTCCATTGGTTTTGGGTGGGGTGGGGTGGGGTTGCCTGTTTTATTCAGGGTTTACCGGTATAGCATTCCAAGTGCCTGGGCTTCCTGCAGGGCTCATTCACCCTACCGGCCCTGGAAAATCCCTATAGGCTCGGTTGTACTATGGATACCTCTTCTGAGCCTGCTCTCGCCTTGTATGAATTTGTGGGTTGTTTGTTGCCAGTACCAACTGATGATGTTCATACATTCAGTCTCCGCCATGCTGCCTGATAGGGTCAGTGACATCTTCGACCCTGAGTCATGTGGGGACTTGGTCGTCCCCATGTGCTCCAATTTACCCATTCCACTGTTGAGAGTCAGAAGTATAAGGCAGCTACTGCCTTGCATTCAAGGTTTTCTGTTTAGCAGCAGTCTAGGTTGTTTGCCCAGTTGGAGGCCTCAGATCGGCTCCACTCGTGTCCAGGTAATCAGATTTGAGGGTGTTGATCACCTTGACCGTGGTTCCGTCTGCACCCCTTTTTCCTTCCCCAGGGAGCTGGTTTCGGCCTTCTTCTCTTTCTCTTCCCCTTCTTCCGGCTCCGAAGCATCTGAGGGTTTTGGTGTCAGGGGCCAGATTTAGCTCTGAATATGGCTTGGGCTGATCTTGGATTTGCCCCTTTTGATGTGGGCATGGAGGCAGTTGAGCCTCTCAATCCCGCCAAGGCTTCTGGGTCAACCCAGCCGACCCCTTCCTTCGAAGCCTTTATCTTGGACTCTGTGTTTCTTTCCCGGGTGGTGGGTGTGGACATCAGCTCTGCCTTGTGGCCCACTTCTGCAGTTTCCAGGGCTATGGGGGTAGTCGGATTGGGGTCCTTGGATTCTGTTTGACCCTTCGTGCCATGTGCAAAGGGTCTTTTGTTGTAGACGAAGAGTTTTTCTTATCCCTCTGCCTTGCATGATTTTGAGTTAGGTGCTGCTTCCCCAGGGTTCGATTCTGTGTGCTTTTTGGCGCTTTGGACTCGTCCTTCTGGAGGTTACTTTCCTCCTGGGTTTTCCCGGCAAAGGCTCAGGAGGCCCTAGAAGCATACCTGGTTTATGCCTCGGTTATGGATCCGGCCTCTTTTGAGTTAGGGTTTTCCTTCCCTTATTGGGTGCGTTATGTGGTTCCAGAGTGATCCTGGCTAGTGGAATGTCCTTTGTTTACCCTTGGGTCTTGGCGCAAGTGTTTCTGTTCCCACATGCTCGACTAGTGGGAGGTGTCTTGTGTGTTGCAGGTTTACCCTTGGGTCTTGGCACAGGTGTTTCCGTTTCCATGTACTCGACTAGTGGGAGGTGTCTTGTATGTTGCAGGTTATTTTTTTGGTTCTTTCAAATACCTCAATTGCTCCGGACTTTTCCATGATGTGGGTCTTGTGCAGCTGCATGTCTCCAAAGACATGTCTGCATGTCTTCGGTCTCCCTTCTGTTGGCTGCTTTGGTGGCGGACGCTCTTCGTACCCAATCACACTTGGTTTCTGTCATGTGCTTCTTGAGCCTCCTGGAGCTGCATTCTGATTGGCTCTCAAAGAATATGGGGATGCTCAGTGAGGGTTACTCTTGCAGGAGTTATGGTCTCCGCTGCTTCGGCATTGGCTGCCTTCCAGAAGCTGTATGCTCTGGGAGGCGGTATTCCTGTTTTTCACCTCCCGTCTCGTGTGTAGGCCGGCCATGCTGGCCAAGTCTTTGAACTTGATGTGGGCCCTGGCTCTCACTCCAGCTTCTCCATTTTGTTTGTAATTGTTTCCTGAGGACATTGTTTCTCAGTTTTTGTTGACTGCGACAGGTTTTCCACGTTTGGGTTCTCCTGTTTGGGCTGAATCTGGCATCTCGTGGGGTCTGGCAGACCCAGTCTACCTCCCTCCTCAGCCCAAATAAGGGGGAGGAGGTGGAGTAAATTAGCCACCACTAATTTCACTAAATATTGGTGGCTTATTTTCATTGTTGGGAGAGTTCTTTTGGCATTTTGTTAAGTGACGGTTTGGTTTTAATCGTGCAGTATTGTGTTTTGCCTAACTTTCTGGGTACTTTCCTGGTGGTGGCTATTATGATTATCTTTAAATTAAAGTGTTCATAGGCCATCACTCCAAGCACCTCTTTGAGAGGGATCAGTTCCGGCTCGTGGTCGCCGGTAGGCTAATAGAACTCCCTGACTCATGGCACCTAGTAATATGGCACTGAATCAATGTGACAGATCCAAGAGCCTCCAGGATTCCTACAGAAATTGGTGTTTCATTACATTTAATGCTTTATTTTTGTTGCTATAATATCTCAAGTATGTGATGCTTAAATTTAATGAATTAAAGTGTTTAAAGGAAAGAAATCCAGCACTGAATGTAATGAAACACCTCTTCCCGGTGGGTCCCCTCGGTGGGTCCCTGTGCTACATTCCTGGTTGGCCCCCACCTCAGTGGGTCCTTATGCTTCCTTCCTGGTGGGTCCCCTCAGTGGGTCCCTGTGCTACTTCCCTGATGGGTCCCCTCGGTGGGTCCCCGTGCTACCTTCCTGGTGTCAGGAAGCTAATAAGTTTTATGGGAGAGGTCCCCCTCAGTGGGTCCCTGAGCTCAGGCATACACTGAGGATAACCACCAGGAAGGTAGCATGGGGACCCACTTAGGGGACCCACCAGGAAGGTAGCATGGGGACCCACTTAGGGGACCCACCAGGAAGGTAGCATGGGGACCCACTTAGGGGACCCACCAGGAAGGTAGCATGGGGACCCACTTAGGGGACCCACCAGGAAGGTAGCATGGGGACCCACTTAGGGGACCCACCAGGAAGGTAGCATGGGGACCCACTTAGGGGACCCACCAGGAAGGTAGCATGGGGACCCACTTAGGGGACCTCTCCCATAAAATGTATTGGCTTTTGGCAACAACAATTAACAATTGCAATGTTTTAATGTTTTAGCAACTATGATTATTTCATGAGCAACTGTTCAGTTAATATGATACCAGTGTCATTACTGTTAATACTATTTGTTGGATTGTTGAATTTGATAAATCTCTCTGTGTGTGTGTGTGTGTGTGTGTGTGTGTGTGTGTGTGTGTGTGTGTGTGTGTGTGTACCCACCTAATTGTACTCACCTAATTGTGCTTGCGGGGGTTGAGCTCTGGCTCTTTGGTCCCGCCTCTCAACCGTCAATCAACTGGTGTACAGATTCCTGAGCCTATTGGGCTCTATCATATCTACATTTGAAACTGTGAATGGAGTCAGCCTCCACCACATCACTTCCTAATGCATTCCATTTGCTAACTACTCTGACACTGAAAAAGTTCTTTCTAACGTCTCTGTGGCTCATTTGGGTACTCAGCTTCCACCTGTGTCCCCTTGTTCGCGTCCCACCAGTGTTGAAAAGTTCGTCCTTGTTTACCCGGTCGATTCCCCTGAGGATTTTGTAGGTTGTGATCATGTCCCCCCTTACTCTTCTGTCTTCCAGTGTCGTGAGGTGCATTTCCCGCAGCCTTTCCTCATAACTCATGCCTCTTAGTTCTGGGACTAGTCTAGTAGCATACCTTTGGACTTTTTCCAGCTTCGTCTTGTGCTTGACAAGGTACGGGCTCCATGCTGGGGCCGCATACTCCAGGATTGGTCTTACATATGTGGTGTACAAGATTCTGAATGATTCCTTACACAGGTTCCTGAACGCCGTTCTGATGTTAGCCAGCCTCGCATATGCCGCAGACGTTATTCTCTTTATGTGGGCTTCAGGAGACAGGTTTGGTGTGATATCAACTCCTAGATCTTTCTCTCTGTCTGTTTCATTAAGTACTTCATCTCCTATTCTGTATCCTGTGCCTGGCCTCCTGTTTCCACTGCCTAGTTTCATTACTTTGCATTTACTCGGGTTGAACTTCAACAGCCATTTGTTGGACCATTCACTCACTATCCAGGTCATCTTGTAGCCTCCTACTATCATCCTCTGTTTCAATCCTCCTCATAATTTTTGCATCGTCGGCAAACATTGAGAGGAACGAATCTATACCCTCTGGGAGATCATTTACATATACCAGAAACAGTATAGGTCCAAGGACTGACCTAGTCCTTGTGTGTGTGTGTGTGTGTGTGTGTGTGTGTGTGTGTGTGTGTGTGTCGTACCTAGTAGCCAGAACGCACTTCTCAGCCTACTATGCAAGGCCCAATTTGCCTAATAAGCCAAGTTTTCATTAATTAATTGTTTTTCAACTACCTAACCTAACCTAACTTTTTCGGCTACCTAACCTAACCTAACTTATAAAGATAGGTTAGGTTAGGTTAGGTGGGGTTGGTTAGGTTCGGTCATATATCTACGTTAATTTTAACTCCAATAAAAAAAATTGACCTCATACATAATGAAATGGGTAGCTTTATCATTTCATAAGAAAAAAATTAGAGAAAATATATTAATTCATGAAAACTTGGCTTATTAGGCAAATCGGGCCTTGAATAGTAGGCCGAGTACGACGTTCTGGCTACTAGGTACGACATATATATATATATATATATATATATATATATATATATATATATATATATATATATATATATATATATATATATATATATATATATATATATGTCGTACCTAGTAGCCAGAACGCACTTCTCAGCCTACTATGCAAGGCCCGATTTGCCTAATAAGCCAAGTTTTCCTGAATTAATATATTTTCTCTAATATTTTTCTTATGAAATGATAGCTACCCATTTCATTATGTATGAGGTAAATTTTTTTTTAATGGAGTTAAAATTAACGTAGATATATGACCGAACCTAACCAACCCTACCTAACCTAACCTAACCTATCTTTATAGGTTAGGTTGGGTTAGGTAGCCGAAAAAGTTAGGTTAGGTTAAGTTAGGTAGGTTAGGTAGTCGAAAAACAATTAATTCATGAAAACTTGGCTTATTAGGCAAATCGGGCCTTGCATAGTAGGCTGAGAAGTGCGTTCTGGCTACTAGGTACGACATATATATATATACACATATACATACATGCATTCATACATACATACACAGAGAGAGTATATATATATATATATATATATACATATATATATATATATATATATATATATATATATATATATATATATATATATATATATATATATATATATATATATATATATATATATATATATATATATTATATATATATATTCATGTCGTACCTAGTAGCCAGAACGCACTTCTCAGCCTACTATGCAAGGCCCGATTTGCCTAATAAGCCAAGTTTTCCTGAATTAATATATTTTCTCTAATATTTTTCTTATGAAATGATAGCTACCCATTTCATTATGTATGAGGTAAATTTTTTTTTAATGGAGTTAAAATTAACGTAGATATATGACCGAACCTAACCAACCCTACCTAACCTAACCTAACCTATCTTTATAGGTTAGGTTGGGTTAGGTAGCCGAAAAAGTTAGGTTAGGTTAAGTTAGGTAGGTTAGGTAGTCGAAAAACAATTAATTCATGAAAACTTGGCTTATTAGGCAAATCGGACCTTGCATAGTAGGCTGAGAAGTGCGTTCTGGCTACTAGGTACGACATATATATATATACACATATACATACATGCATTCATACATACATACACAGAGAGAGTATATATATATATATATATATATATATACATATATATATATATATATATATATATATATATATATGTCGTACCTAATAGCCAGAACGCACTTCTCTGCCTACTATGCAAGGCCCGATTTGCCTAATAAGCCAAGTTTTCATGAATTAATTGTTTTTCGACTACCTAACCTACCTAACCAAACCTAACCTAACTTTTTCGGCTACCTAACCTAACCTAACCTAAAAAGATAGGTTAGGTTAGGTTAGGTAGGGTTGGCTAGGTTTGGTCATATATCTACGTTAATTTTAACTCCAATAAAAAAATATTGACCTCATACATAATGAAATGGGTAGCTTTATCATCTCATAAGAAAAAAAATTGAGAAATATAATAATTCAGGAAAACTTGGCTTATTAGGCAAATCGGGCCTTGCATAGTAGGCCGAGAAGTGCGTTCTGGCTACTAGGTACGACATATATATATATATATATATATATATATATATATATATATATATATATATATATATATATATATATATATATATATATATATATATAAACAGTAAACTGTAATGTATAATACTTAAATGTTGTACTCAGTTCCTAATAAAATGAGGGAGTAGAAGGTGATACAAATTATAGAGAATTTACTATAGATTACTGTATATAATTTAACCACTTCACTGTTATGCCTTAAAATATGACACTCCTATGGTGTGCCAAAAATAAATTCTTTTCAAAAAATGATTTTCTCTTATATAGTTAAAATGCAGTCGCTGATCACGGGGAATAAAAAAAATTGTATGTGACATAATTTAGCCGTGATGGTGCTGGGAAGTGGAGCTTATTATGTGTGCTGAGCGATGAAGCGCTCAAGGTGACTAGGCCCCGCCACGCCGTGGGGCGGGCAGTTGCTGCGAATGTAATATTTCACAATTATTTTGATGATTCTGATTCGTTTCTTCTCTGGTTTTTGCTGTAATATTATTCAAAAGTGTGTAATTTGTGGAATTTATATATTTCAATGTATGGAACATTGCTATGCTCAAGATTATTGGGCTCATATATGTGACATATATTTTATATTCTACAAACAATCAAACTGTTTCTGGGTTTCTGGAGCTTTACCAGGCTGATATGCTAATGTCAGACTTTGGCATCAGTCATGTGTATGGAGTTCTAAGGCCTACCGGGGACCACGGCCAGAACCTGGCCCCCTCAGAGAGGCAAGGGAAGCAATGGCCTATAGAAACCCCCGTGTGGTTGGAAGCATTCTATGTCTGCCATCGACTGGGTCAAGCATCCAGAAAGGTAAGCATTCCAAAGCAAACCCCTATTCTGGTGAAAATTGCTACCTAAAGCCGAACTAGTGGATAGAACTCCTCAACAGAAAACAAGCAAACTAGTATGATGTCACATGTCACCGCGCCGCTGCCTGTGCAGCTCCCCCCTCCCCGGGAGGGGGAAGGGGGAGCCCCAGACCTCCCACACCGGCTATTCACCCATCAGTTCTTCGACTGATGCTATAGGCACCGGTTATGTGCTCCGGCTCCAGTGGTTGTTTCAGCACTGTACCTAGAGTGTGGTGTCTGTTTTCTAGGCGGTGTGTGAGCTGGGAGTGATTCTCCAGTACTCGGGCTGCATGCGCCTAGGGTTCCCTTCCCTAGGTGCCCTGTAAGTACTGCCCTTGGGGCTTGGGGACACCTTCCACAAGTTCCTTCGGTCCTGCCCCTGCTAGGCCGTTTACTACTTGGTTTTCGGCCGCTCTTTGTGTGCTCGGGTGTTCTGTCTCCCTTGTTCGCCTTAGAGTAAGGGGCAGTTTTGCACTGGTGGAGCGCAGGGTACTGTGCAGCTTGTCTTTACCAATCATGGCGGCTGGCTCTGTTCCGCTTGGGTACGCTGTCCTCTTGCGGGGTTTTCTTTTTCTTTTTGTTTATCTACCTGGTGGGGGGTCTGCCTTCGTTCTTGCCCCTTGTGTCCCTTGTGTTCTGAGTATTTTCTGGTGGTACCCCCTGCTAGGTCCCCGTGAGTGTACTCATCCTGGGGGTTCAGCTCTTAGAAAGTTGTTTGGTAGCTTTGGGTGCCGGTTAGCAGTACCCTGCCTTGGATTACCTGAGCGCGAGTCCTCTTATAGTAAATGCTCGGGACCCTGGGAAACCCCTGGGGGCGCGTGGGTCCGGTGGATGTGACCCCAGAGTCCCCCCCTCGCTTCCAGCGAGTTTGAGGGTTGCTCTCACCCTTTGTTTCTGGGTGACTCTGCTTTGCCTCCGTCTGCTGCCTGTGGGGTCGGTGACACCTTCGACCCGGAGTCCTGCGAGTTTGGTTGCTCGTTGTGGCTCGGTTACCCAGTTGTGCTGACTAAGCGGGTGCGGGCAGTAGGGGCGTTGCACTTTGAGCCTTAGTGGTGGCAACGCTCTCGTGGTTTACTCCCTGGGAGCCCCGGGGCTGCCCCGTTTTGGTTTGTGTTCGGACTTGGGGGTGTTGGCTGCTTCTGTTCCTTCCACGCCCCCTTGTCTTTCCCCTGGATCCCCCTTCCTGCCTG